TTTACTCCCATACCACTACCCATTACAACAGCAGGTTGCATGGGTAGGGTTCACTCCCATACCAATACCCATTACAACAGCAGGTTGCATGGGTAGGGTTCACTCCCATACCACTACCCATTATCACAACAGGTTGCATGGGTAGGGTTCACTCCCATACCATTACCCATTATCACAACAGGTTGCATGGGTAGGGTTCACTCCCATACCACTACCCATTATTACAACAGGTTGCATGGGTGGTGTTCACTCCCATACCATTACCACAGCAGGTAGCACAAGTAGGGTTCACTCCCATACCATTACCCATTATCACAACAGGTTGCATCGGTAGGGTTCACTCCCATACCACTACCCATTATTACAACAGGTTGCATGGGTAGGGTTCACTCCCATACCATTACCCATTATCACAACAGGTTGCATGGGTAGGGTTCACTCCCATACCACTACCCATTATTACAACAGGTTGCATGGGTGGTGTTCACTCCCATACCATTACCACAGCAGGTAGCACAAGTAGGGTTCACTCCCATACCATTACCACAGCAGGTAGCACAAGTAGGGTTCACTCCCATACCATTACCCATTATCACAACAGGTTGCATCGGTAGGGTTCACTCCCATACCACTACCCATTATTACAACAGGTTGCATGGGTAGGGTTCACTCCCATACCATTACCCATTATCACAACAGGTTGCATGGGTAGGGTTCACTCCCATACCACTACCCATTATTACAACAGGTTGCATGGGTGGTGTTCACTCCCATACCATTACCACAGCAGGTAGCACGAGTAGGGTTCACTCCCATACCATTACCACAGCAGGTAGCACAAGTAGGGTTCACTCCCATACCATTACCCATTATCACAACAGGTTGCATGGGTAGGGTTCACTCCCATACCACTACCCATTATTACAACAGGTTGCATGGGTGGTGTTCACTCCCATACCATTATCACAGTAGGTAGCACAAGTAGGGTTCACTTCCATACCATTACCCATTATCACAACAGGTTGCATGGGTGGTGTTCACTCCAGTACCATTACCACAGCAGGTAGCACAAGTAGGGTTCACTCCCATACCATTACCCATTATCACAACAGGTTGCATGGGTAGGGTTCACTTCCATACCACTACCCATTATTACAACAGGTTGCATGGGTGGTGTTCACTTCCATACCATTACCACAACAGGTAGCACAAGTAGGGTTCACTCCCATACCATTACCCATTATCACAACAGGTTGCATGGGTAGGGTTCACTCCCATGCCACTACCCATTATCACAACAGGTTGCATGGGTAGGGTTCACTTCCATACCACTACCCATTATTACAACAGGTTGCATGGATGGTGTTCACTTCCATACCATTACCACAACAGGTAGCACAAGTAGGGTTCACTCCCATACCATTACCCATTATCACAACAGGTTGCATGGGTGGCGTTCACTCCCATACCATTACCCATTACCACAGCAGGTAGCACAAGTATGGTTCACTCCCATGCCATTACCCATTATCACAACAGGTTGCATGGGCAGGGTTCACTCCCATAACATTACCCATTACCACAACAGGTTGCATGGATTGGGTTCACTCCCATAACATTACCATCACCACAACGGGTTGCATGGGTAGGGTTCACTCCCATAACATTACCCATTATCACAACAGGTTGCATGGGTGGCGTTCACTCCCATGCCATTACCCATTACCACAGCAGGTAGCACAAGTAGGGTTCACTCCCATGCCATTACCCCTTATCACAACAGGTTGCATGTGTAGGGTTCACTCCCATAACATTACCCATTACCACAACAGGTTGCATGGTTAGGGTTCACTCCCATAACATTACCCATTATCACAACAGGTTGCATGGGTAGGGTTCACTCCCATATCATTACCCATTATCACAACAGGTTGCATGGGTTGGGTTCACTCCCATAACATTACCCATTACCACAACAGGTTGCATGGGTAGGGTTCACTCCCATACAATTATCACAACAGGTAGCACAAGTATGGTTCACTCCCATACCATTACCCCTTATCACAACAGGTTGCATGTGTAGGGTTCACTCCCATAACATTACCCATTACCACAACAGGTTGCATGGGTTGGGTTTACTCCCATATCATTACCCATTATCACAACAGGTTGCATGGGTAGGGTTCACTTCCATAACATTACCCATTACCACAACAGGTTGCATGGGTAGGGTTCACTCCCATAACATTACCCATTACCACAACAGGTTGCATGGGTTGTGTTCAATCCCATAACATTTCCCATCACCACAATAGGTTGCATGGGTATGGTTCACTCCCATAACATTACCCATTATCACAACAGGTTGCATGGGTAGGGTTCACTCCCATAACATTACACATTACCACAACAGGTTGCATGGGTAGGGTTCACTCCCATAACATTACCCATTACCACAACAGGTTGCATGGGTTGTGTTCACTCCCATAACATTACCCATCACCACAACAGGTTGCATGGGTAGGGTTCACTCCCATACAATTACCACAACAGGTAGCACAAGTATGGTTCACTCCCATACCATTACCCCTTATCACAACAGGTTGCATGTGTAGGGTTCACTCCCATACCAATACCCATTACAACAGCAGGTTGCATGGGTAGGGTTCACTCCCATACCACTACCCATTATCACAACAGGTTGCATGGGTAGGGTTCACTTCCATAACATTACCCATTACCACAACAGGTTGCATGGGTAGGGTTCACTCCCATAACATTAGCCATTACCACAACAGGTTGCATGGGTTGTGTTCACTCCCATAACATTTCCCATCACCACAATAGGTTGCATGGGTATGGTTCACTCCCATAACATTACCCATTATCACAACAGGTTGCATGGGTAGGGTTCACTTCCATAACATTACCCATTACCACAACAGGTTGCATGGGTAGGGTTCACTCCCATAACATTACCCATTACCACAACAGGTTGCATGGGTTGTGTTCACTCCCATAACATTTCCCATCACCACAACAGGTTGCATGGGTAGGGTTCACTCCCATAACATTACCCATTATCACAACAAGTTGCATGGGTAGGGTTCACTCCCATAACATTACCCATTATCACAACAGGTTGCATGGGTAGGGTTCACTCCCATAACATTACACATTACCACAACAGGCTGCATGGGTAGGGTTCACTCCCATAACATTACACATTACCACAATAAGTTGCATGGGTTGGGTTCACTTCCCTAACATTACCCATTATCACAACAGGTTGCATGGGTATGGTTCACTCCCATAACATTACCCATTATCACAACAGGTTGCATGGGTAGGGTTCACTCCCATAACATTACACATTACCACAACAGGCTGCATGGGTAGGGTTCACTCCCATAACATTACACATTACCACAATAAGTTGCATGGGTTGGGTTCACTCCCATAACATTACACATTACCACAACAGGTTGCATGGGTAGGGTTCACTCCCATAACATTACCCATTACCAC